TATATTTATAAGATTTATTACATTTATTACATTTTTTATATATCAATAAGATTTATTATGTTTTTATTTCCTAAAAAATCATGAGAAAATCGTTAATGGAAACGACACGTTTCGCATGCAACAGCTCAATACTGCGATAAACAGGGCGCTGAACAAAAAAAAGGATCAAACGCATATAAATTTATCGCATAAGCAAGCATGTACATAATCGGCGTTCGTTTGCCGATACCAGCCGATACCTGGATAACACACCCCCGACAATATTCACTCCAACACCGACCTGAGCTCCCTAGATTTGGCGATGAGCGGCCGGGCAGTGAGGCTGGATATCGTCAGCAGGTTGTCGTTGTCCTCGTCTTCGACGACAGTGCCTTCAGGGCTCTGCAGATGCGGCGGTACGATTGGCGTCGACGTCGCTGTCGCCTGCACCGCCAAGGATGCCGGCCGCTTCGGTGACGGCACCCCGCTGGCGACGCCACTCAGATCGTACACCGGCGCCGAATGGATGGAGAACAGTGAGCCCAGCTGAGTCGCCGGCTGATCATTCATATTCTCGTCGATGAGATTGTTGCCGGTGACGGCCATCTCCTGGGACGCTGTCGTAGGGACGCTGACGTCGACGTCGGCCAACAGGCTCGACGCCCGACATGCGTCCTGAAAGCTCCATTCCCGTGGTAGCGACATGTTTCCTCGGCGGCTTCCTCGGCGGAACCGGGGGGACCGTAATACATTGGATTATATTGCTTGGTTGGTCGCCCGTGATTTAGTCGATCGGTCTCTCTGGTCTTTCGTCCAGCAGCTCCTCGAGCTCTTACTTCGCGCTTTGTCACCGCCTGGTGTTCGCCCTCGCCTGCTTCTCCAATGACTGGAGAACGGATAACTCTCTGTCTCTATTTGGACACGATATCTACCTGTAGAGGGACGCTGTTATGATCATACAACCCTTGTGTCTTTCCTTCCTTTTGATTATACCGAAAGCTCCTCGGTGAGGAGGGCTTCGGTGTCTCTTGATTTAATTTTCGAAGACAAACTACTTGAACTCGAGGTATAGAAATGTCAACGATCGATGATCAGCGTTTTCTTGTCTAGCTGCCAAAGCACTTCTCCCGACTTTGTAATGTAGACTGAGACTTACTGAGACTCTTTCAGTGAACACGAGTGGGGTGCGCACGCAGACTGGTGGAGGGTTGCAACTAACTGGAAATTTACAGTGGGATCGATACGTCGGTGACGCTGACGCGCAAAGGCATCTTCACGGAAATCACCCACGACCCACGTGCAAACAAACTGACAGGGGAAAAACCACGATTGTGATCATCGCCAGACAAGTCATCATTTTTGAACGGGCGAAACTGGGTTACATGAATATGGAACTATACGAAGTTTTTTGATGAAAGAGAGATTGACGAGTAGCTACACATTTGAAGTACTTTGTATAAAAAACGTTGACAGTCGAAATGTTGAATAAAATTTAATTGTTCTGGAAAAATAAAATTTATTTCAATATATTGAAATAAAATAATTTAGACTATGCTCGATATACATTGTAAAAAAAATGAGAAATTTTCTAATAAGGGAAAAAAATCTAATTGTCATGCTCCAAATTTTCGTTTTATTTAGTTTTTACATTTTGATGTCTGAATGAAATTTGAGAAAATTGAAATTGCTTAGATTATTGAAATTGATTTTACATTCATATTTCACACGTCTAGAATACATATATTTATATATATTTCCAGAAATTCAAAATTTTATAATAAAAAAAGGTATAGTTAGTATATTCTTTAGATCTTGTATTAAATAAAATAAATAATCCGATCATTGTTTGGAAAAAAATACTTATGTTTTAATTAGCAAAAGTAAAACACAACGTGATGTAGTCGAATAAACAACTTACTTTTTATAGAAATATAATAAATAGATTTCATATTTATTCATATAGAGATATAAGTACTTTGTAAAGTCGAAAATCGCGGTTGTCAACTCAACTGCAATTGATAAAATTTACATATTACGTCAAACATATCATTTACTATTTCAACGCAAGCCTGGAAATTTCTTCGACTTAAAGTAAGTTACTAATCGCTCACAAAATGTTGCGTCCAAAATCTCATTAGAAAGCGCTTTGCATTGCGGTTTAAGCTGATTATCTCTTAGATGTCGGCCTTCTCTTGTCATTACGTCATCTTGCGTGCATTGTTCGCCCTCGATTGTCGTAATTATCTGGCAATTGTGGAAGAAATTTGCGCAGAGATAATCATTTCGCGAAATGCTGCATCCAAATATAATTTAATTATACAAGTAAATAAGCAATATTAAGAATCTTTAAAATCAAGTAAATAAGATTTTAAATAACGATTATGGCATATCATTAATTGTATACTATTATTTAATCTAATATCATTCAGTATTGTTTAATAACTTTGTCGAAAAAAGATCTATTTGTTCTCATTAATTTAATCTCCCACTAATATAATATCAAAATTGTTTATAGATAAACTTTATACATTAAGTAAGTAACTTTTAAGAAAATAATAACAATGAAAGCAACCGTACTGATATTAAATATAGAAACAGATAGGCGTAGCGACTGTTTTGATTAGCATTATTTGAATTTGGCGATTTCTTGATCGAACCTCATGGAGGGAGGTAACTTCTACGCGCAGCATCCGACTGGATCAATGACAAATCTCCCAACTCTCTACATCCCTTGCGCTCGCGCTCTATCTCGAGGTTCAGCATTAGCGCTTGGGCTGTTCCAAAGTGCGCTTCCCTCGGGCGTGGACTGATTTTGACATGTAATAAATAGTAGTAGGTTCCGAGTGGATCCTTGGAGATCCGTCTCGCTCCAGAGAATCGGACAAGATATCTAAGATAAGGTGCATATAATAAAGCATCAGAAATCATACGTGAGTAAGCTGCTTGAATTTCCTTTTAAAATGTGTGAATCACACACGATTAAAACCCAATAAGACTTTCGATAACAACAGCAATTATTATTATTTTTAAATATATGTTTGTATAATGCTCCAAATAAACATATAAATTAAATTATATTAATTATAAAATACTAATAACAATCTTATAACAAACATATAAGTATGTATTGAAGACGAATAAAACTCGTAGAGAAAACAATGTTTTGTTTGACATTGCGAAGAACTTTCATCATGAAAATGGGCGGAGGCTGTTTACTATAGGAAAGGATACAAATTCAATGACCCAGTTACTCTTTTAATGTTTAGCAATAATAAGGTCCAACGAAAACAATATTATACTTTTGCAAAAATAATCTTTCTGTATAAGCTTACTTTTCATATAGCGGAATCTGACATCTGTTATTGAAAATATCTAAGATTATAAAATTATAATAAATAATATTACAATTTACGATAGTGAAAGAATAAAAATTCTTAAATATTTTATATAATTTAGGTATGTATTAAAATATTAAACACTTAATATTAATTTTTTAATATTTTTTTTTTATTAAATTAAAAATATATATAAAAAAAAATAAAACTATTCATACACTTTAATTAATTACATTTCGTTTAATTATTGATTGCATTATGTATTGTTTATTATAACAATAATCTTAATTTAAAAAAAAATTTAATACAAATTTTAACACATTAAGGATATTTAGATATTAAGTTAAAAAATATGTATATATAAATTATTTCACTTTATTTAGTTCGTGACTGAAATCTCAATATCAATTGTCAAAAATTGATAATTTATTGATTTAACGTAAAGATTTATTTAAGAATAGATAGCTACACGATGGCGAAACGTATGAAGACTGTGCTGTCACTCATCTTCATTATCTTGCACAATGCTTCATGGTTAGGACTCATCCTCGTCAGGGCAAACCATAACAATCCAAGATTCTTCAAGATAGGCGGTGTTCTCTCCAATGTTGACAGTAAAGAGCACTTTGAAAAAA